TATAGCCAAAATTCTATAATGGAACAACCACATTAAAGTTAAATTCCTATTGAGTAGAAATAGCATAAAATTTAAATCTCCAATGTTCTAACTTGCAAAATTTAGACAAACATTTTGAAATCTGAGGAAGGAAGTCATTACCCATCAGGGAGTATTCTGCAATAATTAAAGTTCTCCCAAAAGCTTGTTAGATGGTTACAAGCTAAATATATGAAAAGAAGACTAAAACCAAAACTAACCAATAAAGTAAACAAGAAAAAAAGTCCACATTTCCCTGTGAACAAACAAAAAGTGTAATATTGTCCATTAACATGTTATAGGTTGAAATGTGTTCCCCACAAAAAAAAAAGATATATAGGCATCCTAACCCTTGTATGTCAGGATATAAATGTATTTGGCCACAAGGTTTTCATAGAGGAGATCAGGTTAAAAGGAGGTCATTAGTGTGGGACCTAATCAATAGAACTGGTGTCCTTATAAAAAGGGAAAACTGGATACAGAGACAGATATACAGGGAGGGACGACAGTATAGAGAAATACAGAGACACCACTACCTACTGGGCCAGCAAAGCTACTGGGTAGCAGAAACGAGGAGGCAGGCCTGGAATGGCCCTCTGAAAGAACCAGCACTATTGACAACTTGATTTTTGATTTAAAGCCTATATACCTGAGACAATAAATTTCTGTTGTTTAAGTCATCTGGTGTTTGGTACTTTGTTTTGAGAGCCCAAGCAAACCAATCCTACCCATAGGCAAGAGGAAAAAGAAGGTATCAGTAAAGAGGATAAGATTGAACTGTGTTTTTCTGGTTCATCTTATCATATCTTCAGAGTTTACAGTGTCTAGAAAACATAAATGAATGAAATAGTGAGTGAATAAAAGCAAAGGTAAATTTAAAGATGAATAAACCTACTTGAGAAGGATTTACATTGGAATTTTAGGGAAAGCAGAGGAAAGAAGATAAAAGACACCAAAAGCATAGCACAATTAGCACGGAAAAAAACAAAACAAAACAAAACAAAATAAAACAGGAACTATTCCATATATCTCAAGAAAGATGATTAAAAGGATAAAAAGTATAGAGTGTGTAGGCTCACATTCTAATTCTCACCAGATTAATGGTTTCTTAGGAACCGACATAAAGTCACTAGCTTACTCTGGGTTTTTGTCTCTGGGGAAGGTCCAGCTACATTTATAAGGTCACTGAACCGTCTATAGCTAAATATCATCCAGCTGGTGTTCCATGTTTCAGATATTTATATAAAAATTGAGTGAAATTCACACTTCAAGCTGAGGACAAAATTGGATTATCAACAGGACTTGCTACGATGGGTCTAAATTGCATAAATGAAGGGCCTCCCTGGTGGCACAAGGGGTTAAGTATCAGTACTATAAAGCTATCCATTGGCAGCCACTGCAGCATGAACTCGATCCCCTGCCAGGCTTCTAACCCATATAGCTCAGCAGACCTCTTCTGTCTCAACCGCTGCTCCCCTCAGCAGTGTATTTCAGTCAATCTGCCTGTTCTGCTCCCCACTCTGTCTCTGGTGAATCCTCTCACTCTTTACAACCTCTGGCCTACACCCCAGCTCTTGTATGCACAGATAAATAAATCTTTAAAAAAAATCTTAAATTTTATTAATGAAAAGGTAAGTTGCTAGCCTTTTAAGACTAGTTGCTAGTCTTTTTGTTTACAATCCTCCCTTTAAATTAAAAAAAAAATCAATAAATAGTGAGGACCTACTTTGTGTCAGCCACTATTCTAGACATTTGAGACTATAACAACAAACAAAGCAAAATTCCTGTGATTTTAGAGGTTTATTTCTATTGAAGGAATGATAATTGATTAGGTATATAGTATAATGTATCCATAAATAATATGCACACATTTAGAGGGTTCATTCAGGATTGGGGATTTGAGGTGACAGACTAATTTAGAAAACGAGGAAAGGAGAACCTCCTTGTAGAAATGAAATTTGAGCAGAAAACTGTACACAAGTGTGGGCCATGCAAAGATCTGGGTAGAGAGATTCTGACTAGGGTTCTGAGTGGGGATGAGGTTGGCATTTCCAAAAAATCAAGCCATGCCAGGCCAGTGCTTGGAATGAGTAGCAGGGGCAAGTGTAACTATTTATAAGGTCAGATCATAAGGGCTCTGTTAATATATTTCCATTATATTCTGAATTTGATGAGAATCTATTTTGAGTTTAAACTGTGGAGAGAATGACATAATTTGAAGTTTAGAAAGTCACCCTAGTCACAATTTAGAGACTCAACTTTAGGGAAGGCAAGCCTGGAGGGACTCCCAAAGCTGGCAAACTGCAAACTATAAATTTAAAAAGGATAGTGCCTTTGGTCTTCATCCCCATAGTCAAAGACAGTAAATTCAAACTTGAACTCAGAAAATTAGATCCCCTAGGACCAGCTCTTGCCTTACCTTTCCAGTTATATTTAGAGTAAACCTGTCTTCACTTTGTTTTATGTCAGTTTGTCAATCTAAACCTTTGAACATTCTATTCTCTATTTATAATGACCTCTATTTTTCTCTTCATGGTCCAAAAGAGATGTCCTTCATGTTTCAGAACTCTTCTTTGAAACATTTATTGACATTTCCAAGAAGAGGAAAGTCACCAGAAAATCTCATATAGTACAAAATAAAACTTTAATGCTGTGTAGTAAGTGTTAGGGTGTTGTCTCAAAGCTTACTGATTGGTGGTTTCCCCCAGCTTTACTGATCTGAGAAAATTAACTGTATGCAAACTACCTAGCTAGAACTTTTAAATTAAATCATTGTCATTATGAATATCCCTTAGAAAATCATTCTGAAAAGTATAGTACTTGGTAATCTATGGTGATAATTAATCAATTTAGTTTAAAACATCTAACACAAGTCTAGAAATTTGCAAAGAAACAAATTACAACATGAATGGAAGTGAATTGAGAGAACGCTAAGTGAAATAAGTCAAAAGGAGAAAGACAAATACCAGATGATTTCATTCATGGTCAATACAGAGAAATAAAACAAAGGAACTGACAAAACAAAACTAAAATAAACCTTAGAAACATGACTGCAGTATTGAGGTTTTTGGAGGGCTGGGGATGGAATAAAGTGGGGAGGAAACCCAGTGATCTATGATAAAGAAATATGGGTGCTTTGGTGGTGGGTGTAGGGTGGTGACACACATCTGAAGAGTTGTGAACCTGTTCCCCTAAATCATATACAGTGTTGCAAATTAGTGTTACCTGAAAAAATAATTTAAAAAGTGAAACAAATTATAAAGTTCACATTTTGGGATCAAAGTATTTTAAGTGCTAAAAGTATTGCCTGGATATAAGATGCAGTAAAACTATCTTTGAGTTTTTATAGAATTACTTCGTACTAAGTATGCAGTGAGTTTGACCATCTGGGAAAAAGAACTAAAATATGGTATGCCAAGACTTAAAACACCTAATATTTTTAGAGCTGAGGCAGTATTTAGTAATTGCATTCAATTTATTTTATGATTAGATAACTAATCAATATTACTGATACAGTCAGTAAAACAACAAATTCAACCCACTATGTCTTTCATTCCATTTCCAAATCTGAAGTGAATACTGTGAGAAAATATTAGTGGCAAATTGAATCTTCAACTCAGTTCATTTGAATTAATGAAATGAATGATCACTATTTTAAATAAATGATCAATATATCAACTGGAAAAGCCTATTATTTCTATGAACAGAGCCTTGAATATTACTTTTAAATAATGTCAAAAAAGTATTTTCAGAATTTTCTAAGTAATACATTAGGTGAATTTATAGGCCACAGATGTAAAAATAAATACCATGAGCTTGCTTCCACAGCACACATAATAAAAAATAAATAAATATAACTGAGCTAAGAATCACTCTGCAAAATAGATTTAATTTCAGAAACAAAACTATATAAATTATTTACAAGTTAGGTGAAGTTGAAATGCAGCAGTGGTTCCCTGACTCAGTATTTATGACCTTTGTACCCCACAGGTAGACAGTTTTACTTTTAGGTTACACTGCTTGAGAAAAAATATAACAAAATGCCACTATGCAATCAGATAACTTGGATGTAAATTCCTCGACTTCAAAAACCAGCACATTAAGGGAAATATTAATTTGTACATAAATTTTGTTTTTAAGTTGATCTATTATGTTTATCAATAACCTTCTAAAGAGTTATATATTAGATTTTCATAAGTAAGACTAAACCTGCTTTTGTAAATGATTATTCTTATCTTAATCTCAGTTATAGAGATCTTCAGAAATGTGTCCAACATATCCATATGCATTCTTTTCCTTTAAAGTATTTCTATATAATTTAACACAAAGACTCTCCATTATTCAAATAAATACAAAGACTTCTTGTTTCTAGAAGCATTAGGATTAAGACTTACCTGAAGTGAGACTAAGAAAGTTGCCAGAACAATATAAGCAGGGACTATGATATTTATTTTACTTTCTTTTGCCTGCCCTAGAAATGTGTTCTTAGGAGTAAATATTCTAAGCCTTTTATGAAATCATTCTGGCTGCAGGAATACAAGACAGACTAGATCTGCAAAGATCCTCCTGCTAAAGAATTCCAGTATCCATGAGTCTAAATTGATGGTCACCTTTAGCCTTATCTGTTTATGTTCAATGTTTATTCCATCATACTTACATTTGAATATTAAATATGTTCACTGAAATCACAGGCTAAAACTGACACTTGGGAGATTTCAAACTTAAAAATAAGTTTTCATCTTGTTAAGTCAAAAAATAATACATTTCTCATTTTGGTACTTTTATGTAAATCTCCACTTTTGGTACTTTTAAGTAAATCTACATTTTCTCTTTCCTCCCAAATTTCTAATAAAATAGTCCTCGGTGACATTTAGTATGAGGTTTCTGAGGTAACAGGAAGCTTAAGTACTCCTTACTGGCTGCAAACACATGGTTAACATCATTTCATCCATTGTCTTCTAACTGAAAAGAATCACTCTTACCGTGTAGCCCTCGGTATATTGGAAAGGAGCCCTGGAACTTTCGTCTGCTGTTGGACTCAGAGGCTTGGGGTCAGACATAGAACGCTGCATCATCTTGGCTGTCTTAGGACTTGCTGGGGGAGCTTTAGCCATATCTGGATGCAATGCTTTCTGTGGACTTATGTCATCAGGGAGGGGCTTTTCATAAGGTACAAAGGCTGATTCTAAGGCTTTGCCTGGTGAAAGTGGTGAGATGGGTGAATAAAGGACTTTTGGAGATTTGGGTGGGGAAGGAGCCAGCTGTAGTGTGGAATCTGCCCGAAGGTGAGATGAATAACCAATCTCTAAAGGTGTTGGGCGTTTCTTGTCTTTGGGTGAAGATGTGGCACTCAGATATTGAGGACTTTGTGTGTCTGAATCTGCTTCTGTTTGACAGCCTAAACTCCCCCCTTTGTAGGTCTTTTCAGGTGCTGAAATGTGTTTAATTATTTCTACCTTGGCATCCACGCGTGCCCGAATCGAAGGTGTTCTTATGGTTCCAACGGGTTCGGTTTGCACAGATATCTCTGCTACTGTTTGAACTGCTATACTGGAGACTTTGGAAAGGGGTTTGGTCTTGTCAGCCTCTGTAGTGCCGTCACCATATTTCCCTACACGAGCCTTTCTTCTTGATCTAGTAGGCATATCCCATTCATCCTGATCTTCATCATCAGTTTGGACACTTGTATCAACACTCTTTTTCGTTCTCCTTCTCCTACTCACATAAGTCCGATCTGCTGCATCTTCATCATCAGTTTGTACACCACTGTCCACGATCTTTTTAAAACCACGGGGATCATCTGCCATATTTTCCCCCATCTCTTCATACTGTCCATGAACTTTAGCTCCAGAACTTCTCTTTTTGGGTTGTTTTTCATCTTTTACCACAACATCTGTTAGAGGTATTTCTGAAACAGTACTCAGGATGCCAGGTGGGGCAATATACTGAGTGACACCATCAGACTGAACTGTGTACCATCCTTGGCTTTGTGGTATTTCAATTGCCACAACAGCTGAAGCAGTGGTGGTTGCATCTTCAGCTGCCCAAAACTGACCACCCTCTGAGGCTGCATATTGACCTTCCAAAATTGCCTGCTCTGTAGTGGTCTGTGGAGAAGCAGTTCCAGAAGGGTCATAATTATATTGGTAGATCTGGCGAATCTTTTGCTCCTCTAGCTGCTGATGAAGCTGTTGCTGGAGTTGTTGGATCTGCTCCAGCTGTAACTGTTGCTGAGCTAATGTCTCCTGCCTCATCATGAACTGGGCTTGCCTTTCTTCTTCTTGCTGGTAGAGGAGGTGCTGCTTCATAGACTGCAGCTCCTCCAGTTTTTTCTGAACCATGATCTTTTCCTGTTCTCGGAACCTTTGGATTTCCTGACGTTCCCACTCCAATTCCTCAGCAAAACGTTGTTGCTTAATTTTTTCCAGTTCTAAGAGCTCACGCTCCAGGTCTAGCTGCTGCTGTTGTTTATCATCTTCAGGGACAATTAAGAGAGTACTGTCATCTCCAACCCCTTCAGAAAACACTTCAGATGCTGTGGTTAAAGTGGGAATTGAATCTACTGTCTCAGCAGCAAGAGTTTCCATAGTAATAGTTGGCATGCTGGCACTGATATCAATACCAGTTACTGCAATGTCTGTTTCAGATGCACCTGTTGTTAGGAAATATGATCTAGGCATTGGCTGGCTCTGGTGCAGGACAGATAACGAAGTCACAGCATCAGTTGTGTGTACACCAGACAAATCTCTTACAGTGGTGCTAAAAATGGAGCCAGGTTGTGTGGTGATAGCAAATGTGGAGGGGACTGGAGTTGCCACCGAAGAATAGACAACACCATTGGATGTCTTCAAAACACTCCCCGTGCCATACTGTGATCCTGGAGGTGGAGTCATTCTTGCTGTGGAATATTGTGGGGTACTAATCCCAACTCCTGAAATGACGTGTCGTGTTTCTGGATATGGACCTGTAGTCTTGCTTGAGTAATCCATTACCTCACCTGAAATATAGGGTAGAGTTATAGTCCGGTTCCCAGCATGAATGATGCATTTTGGGCTTGAAAGTTCTCTTGTCTTGATGAACATAATGAACGAGACTGCATGCAAATCCAAGGGCTAGCCTAATTAGACGCGGAATGAAAGCAATGCTGAACATGCAGGCACATGCAGGTGACTTTGGGCAGAACAATTAAAAAAAAATGAAGAAACAAAAAGGGCACATGTACTCCAAAAATATGTTGCCAAAACATCCAAAGAAAGAGTAAAGGTAACAAAACCAGAAAAGGGACATTTTCATCCTGAAATGAGATGAGGAACACCATAACGATTATTCAAGGAAAGGTCTGTTGCTGCATCATACTGACCTGTAGTAATTTTCCCTGAAGTCAGATCTACCGCTGCATCAGCTCCTCCAGAATAATCAAAAGCATTCTTACTTTTATAGAAAAAATGTCCAGCTTCTGCTAAATTAGTGTCAGACATAGAAGGTTTCATTCCCCCAATACCTCTATAACCATATGGCCCCGTTCGATCATATTGATAGTGGTCATCCCTATAACCAAAACGATCCTCAGGAAGAGTAGTTGCAGGCTGCTGTGCTGTGCAGCTCTTTCCAAAAGGTAACTTATAAACCACATCACAGCACACAGCTCTTCTTCCTGCAGTTAGATCAACAGGTTTTTCATCATCTTCTATTATTTTGGTCACCACACTTGAAGTAGATTCATCCATTGTTACAACAGTTCTATGAGACTTTGTTGTACTGAGATCCACTACTTCCCCATCAGCAATCCCCTGGGATGTGGTACTGTCAGTCCATCCATTTGTGACACCAACAGGCGGCACAGTGACAGGTTTTGTAGTAGCCAATGTCACTGCAGGTGCTGAACTGCCTAAAGATAAGTTTATTGGTACTTCTTCCCTAACTGTAGGAAAGGTCTGGCCACTTGGAATCCTGTATGGGACTTCAGTCAGCTTTGATGTAGTAAGCTGGAGTGGTGCAGTCACTGCATGTTCTATACCTACTAAGCTTTCTGTGCCTGTGGTGTAACTAGTACTAGCTGTGCATGTGACAACAGTCACTGTCTCGGTGACCAGGGATATTGGTGTGGTCACTGAAGAAGTTGCACTGAGATTTATAATAGAGGGCTGGACAGCACTAATTTGTCTCCCATAGATTTCACTTGTTATGGTCTGCCTTTTCATATCCATTGCAGAAGCAGAAAGATCCACACCCTTTTCAGTTACTTCAACTTCTACTTTTGGTACTGTACGTAAATCAATGGCATCACCAACTAGATGCAACTTTCCATTTTCCTTATACTCATGTTTCTCTAAATGGAGGTTACCTAAAGCAAGATGTTCTGGAGGAATCTCTATAGAGACACTGCTGAGCCCAACAGAAGGAACTGTACTTCTGGCTGCTGAAACCTCAGCCTTGGAAGCTTCAGTTGTCAGAAACTGTGTAACTGAAGCTGAGGCTGTTTGAAATGAAGATAGTGTTGTGACAGGAATAGCAGAATATGTCTCCAAAGCTCCCGAGAAGTATAGGCTCTGTTCTGAAGAACCCGAAATTTCTGCAGCTGTCATAGGAGGAACTACAGAAAAAACTGGTTCAATGGAAATCAGATCTTTAGGTGGTGAGCCCAGGGGCCAGCTGGTAATTGCTTGACTAGCTGAAGAATCTGTTGGAGTTCCAGGTTCAGATGGCAATGTGATCACCACATAAGTTTCCATGAGGGATTTGGAATATCTTGGTGAGGACTTGTTGGAATGAGGAGAAAGTGGGGAGGTAGGAGATGGCAATTTATAATCTGTTGACGTCACCAAATTTAATGTCATATTTGAGGTTAAAGGCAGACCTATTGGTTTGGGATGTGTATCTGTTGGTTTTTGTGTCGTTACTGGAAGCTGAGGAATTACTGGCTTAGGGGCAATTGGTGGTTTGCTTGGCTCAGGTCTATGTGTAAATACAAGTCCAGATGGAATTGAAGATGGCTTAGGAGGAACAGGAGGAGGTGCAGCTGTACATATTTTTGATACAGGTATCCCGTTACTCCTTGGAATAGCTGTGGTCTCTACAGCGGGAAAGGCCTCAAGGACAGGTGTAGCTGTAGTAGTTATAGTCACTGGAGCTGTAACTGTTAACTTTTTTTTAGGATGAATAGTTGGTTTAGGTGAGGTTGGTGGAGGAAGTGGGGGGGGAGGAGGAGGAGGAGGAGGAGGGGGAGGGGGAGGTGGAGGAGGGGGAGGGGGAGGAGGTTGGGCTGATATGTCCATAGAGGAGCTTCGAAAGAATGGTCGAGTTTTAGTTGGACGAGAGGAAACAGAAGGACTTCCAGATGGTAACTGAGAGGCAAGTTTTGTGTGACCAAAGACCTCTCCAGATACAAAGCATGTGGCTGAAACCTGCTCCTTCACTGGAAGGGCTGTTGCAGAAGGTGGTTGATCAAACACAGTATCAGGTAAGCTAGTTTTTGTTAGTTCATCCTCAGACTCCTCCCTTTTATCTCTGTAAGCTTCTAAAACTTCCAGAATAATTCCATTCCCAGTTTCCTTCTTGACTTTCTTCACTATATCTTTTTCAGATATAGCTAAGTCCGTGGAAATAGTGTCAGCAATTATCCCCTCAGGTTTAGTTCCTCCAGATTCCATGACAGAAGGTGTCACATCAGATAAGGAAATTACAATATGATCAGCACTAGTTCTACCATCTGGCATGGTATCCTGATCTAAAGATACACCTATTTCTTCTGGGTAGTCTATAATGCTTCCTGGAAAATATGTTGATGAAGAAATTTCCTCAGAATCTTCAAATTTAGTTACTATGTCCACTGGCTCTGTATAAATTGTGGTTATGCTATCCAGGGTAGTAATGGGTGAGGAGCTATCTGTGGTACAAACTGAAGAAACAGATGATGTGAGAGAAGGTGTGTCAGAGGGAGGGACAGAAGTAGCACTTTCTGAAGGCTCAGAGTAGGTCAAAATTAGCGATTCATGGGCAATTATCTCTTGAATTTCTCTTGTATAATCAGTTAAATATTCATCCTCAATTTCTTCTGTTGAAAAATGTTGTGTTATTTTAACATCTGGGATAGAGAGTGTTGCACTGCTGGTTGAATCTGTAAGAGATGCTCCTGAAAGAATACTTGATGTCATAGATGCATCAGGCATCCTATCAAAGTCCATAGTGGAATCTGTCATATCCTCACTGGTGTGGGGCTGGGCTGCACTGGATCCAGATGTTAACTGCATCTGTTGCCTCTTCATGAGTTCTTCATAGGCTGCATCAGCATCTAATAATTTTTTTTCTTCACTGGCAGATGTTACCATACTGCCCAGATCCACTATCTCATGACTTTCTGGCATGATGTAAGAGCTTGAAACAATGTCTTCTTGAGGAACAACAGAGTGTAAACTTTCTAACTCATAAAACTCTTTCTGGAGGTCTGTAATTTTCTGCATAGGATCTTCATAAATCTGTTCTGGAAGTCCTATTTTTTGGTCTCTCCCTCTCTGCTGCATAAATCCATTTTCATCTTCATGTCTTGTTAAGAGACTGGAATCTATGGAGCCATTGTATGTGTCCTCTACTAAAGATTCATAAATATAATCCTCTATTAACATCCCTCCATACAAAGGTTCCTTTTCAAACATTTCCTCTCGCTCATTTGCACCAGGAAAAGCTTTATATTTAAGGGTTTTATGCATCATTTCTTCATACATCTCCTCAGCACTTTTTAATGTCTTTGGAGCACCTTCTCTCTGCATAATAGATTGCTCATCTGTCGGTGAGTATAAGGACACAGCTGTAGGCAATTTGTAAACTTTCTGCACTTCTATTATTTTTTCAGGGCTTATTTCAAAACCCTCTGGGTCTGATTCTATGCTAGGTGAGTATTCAGAACAAGAAGATCGATGGAGCTCCTCCATTTCTGCAGCCTGACGTAATTCTTCTGTTGGAGATGCATCTTCAATGGGAGAGAGATTGCTGGGTGGTGTCTTTGGCCTTTCTCTCCTTCTCTGAGCTCGAAGTTCATCTTTGTCTTTCTTGGATTTTTTACTAGAACTTTTTCTTTGCTGCTGTTCTAATTCCCGTTGCTTTTCTTGCTCCTTTAATAATTCTTCTTCCTCTCTCAATTCCTCTTCCTCAGAAGAATCTTCAATAGTAGGTAAAAGAGGGCCGTGTGATCTGTGCCGAGCTTTGCGTTGCTGTTTGCTCTCCCCTTTTTTGTGACTTGGGCTACTGTCACTGTCCTCATCAAGTGATGACACTGATGTAGGGGATGTGCCAGGAGTAAAGCTGGAAGCATGAAGACTAGAAGATCCTTCCCCCCTTGACCTATCTTCTGGAGAGTCTGTCAGGCTTTCCATTTCTAATTCTGGCTCCTCATCAAAATACAAAACTGCTTTTTTCTGTGATGATTCTGCAGAGTATTTGTCAGCTATCGTGCTGTTGAGTTCAATCGTTTTGAAACGACGTAGACCTCCTCCAGTAACTACAAGTTCTTCACTCTCTTGACTTTTAGTTTCTCGGTACTTAAGTTCAGGACTTTCATCAAAAGTCTCGTCATCTTCATCATGCCATGAATGGCGTCTCCCAGCATCATCTTCAAAGCTTGCACTACTTTTTCGAGTCAGGCGCTTGTGTTTCCCTGGTGTTACTTTCCCTTTTCCCTTTGTTTCTTCCTTCTTTTGGCTCTCAATACTACTACTTATCTCTTTGAGCTGGTTCCTGATGAACTCATCATCTTCAGAACCTGAAGCATCCTCATCAGCACTCATTTCTATGATCTGTTTTCGAATAAAGTCTTCCTCTTCACCTGACCCTTGACTATCTTGTTTATACTCATCACTGCTTGATGAACCAACACTGGTTCTTCGTTTCCTTTGCGGAACAGGCGAGTTTTCACTTTCACTACTCTCTTCAACTGAATCATAAGGTTGTCTTCTTGTAGCTATGTCATCAACACACTCAGACTTTTCTTTATGATCCTTTTTGGAAGGAACATCTTGTTGGCTATCTTTTTTTAAAGTGTCCTTTTCTTCTTGACCCTGTTTGAGTTCCTTTTCTGAAACTGTAGTTTTCAGTGTTTCAGATAAATCCTGGGTTTTCTGCTGTTCCTTAGACTGCTCAGGAAGAACCTCATGGGCTTGTGGTTTTGTTTTTGACTTTTCATCAACAAGTGTACTTGCCTGAGCTTCCAAAATGGACAGAACTGTACTTTCTAACTTAGCCAAATCTGAGGGGCTTGAAGGACTGCTTTCTTGTGAAAAAGAGTCCTTTTTGAGTCCCTTGAGTAAATCCTTTTCATCACTTGGAATAAGACTCGGAATTTCACCTAATGAGCTTGATATTCCATCGGAAGAATATCCTGTGTCACTCAGACCTTGCGGACTTTTCGGCTGTTGAGAACTTGAGGTGTCTGATTTGTCATCTTCCTTTTCCTAGCAGGGAGGAAAAGATACAGGAAAACTTAACATGGTTAAACTAATAATATGGCTTGTCTATTAGTCCCAAATTATTATGAATGAGAAATTATAGATATTTTTTCCAACTATGTGCTATAGGTATTTTATATATATCTTTGAATGGCCACAAAAATGAAGAGTTGATACATACAGTTTATGTTAGTCTTCATTTAACCTAAGATTAATAAATATCAATTCTCAATGACATGTGATTTTGTTCAATGAATATGCTGTTCATTCACATGTCAATATTACTTTCCTCCAAAAACATGATATCTTTCTTAGGATATTTACTTTGGGTATAATTCAAATTGTTGAAGATAAAATTTAGTATTTTCTGTTCATATAATTAGTTCCTTTGGATTCTGAGGAAGGTAAAAAAGAAAGAATGAGAGAATGGGTATTATACCTGGCTTCAAGTTCTATGAGATGTTAAAAACTGACTTAAATGGAAATAAGCAGGTAACATGGCCATAAAAATATTTCTCTAGTGAACACAAAGGATTTTTTTCAAAGTAGGAACTGCATATCTTAAAGACACATTGAATGATGTAAAACACTATATTTACTTGGTGTTGTTGCTAGTAATTTTATTTTATATGATTTGAAATGGATGCTTTGAAATTTTTAAACTTTGAAATAGTTATGTGATAACTGTCCTCATGGCTTCAGCTAATGAGAAATATCCAGCTATAATTTTTGTAGAATGGTCAACCTCATTCATTTTAAGCATTCTACCTCAATAAATTTAGTAAGAATCATTTATGTATTCTGATTTTGGAAACACTTGCAATTTTACTTTTATACTATTTCAAAGTTAATTCCCTTCAAGTGCAATAACAAGCTTTTGTGAATGAGAACATGGGCTTTCCAGGGAGCTGGGATACTTAGTGACCTACTGCTGTTGTTGGGATGTGATGAAGCCAGGTCAGCAATATGGTTCAAGAATCAGAGCGGCCTTAAATAAAAATGGTAAGCTTAGAGACTTTGGTATAAGTTCAAATTAAAAATACTTATGAGCAAAATGAAATCCAAACCCATCCAGTAGTTTCTACATCTAAAGAAGAGTGCCACAATAAACCTAGAGCTCTGTGGATTAAATAAGTTGGAAGAAGACCCTATAAGGACATGCTCTATCTGACTTGGGCTATGAGACCGCCTTGATTCCACTCATGCTGTATCTTGAATTAACCACATCAATATTTTCAATGGACTTATGGAACTGGGATCTTCCAACCAAGCCATAGCCACAAGCCAGTCAGTTAGCATGCCTGCCTGCCCTCTTCTCCTTCCCCTTCTTGTCTTCCTCCTCCTCTTGGCTACAAAGTTCTCCAACATAAAATTTTTTGAGCTTGATACTCATTGTATGTTCATCGTCATCTCAGTATGTTTATTACATATGTAGTATGTAATGTTTTGTATGCACATTGAATATTTGTGTGCACAAAAAAAGTTTTGTATGCATATTAAATGTTTGTATGTACAAATAAAATATTTTGTATGCACACTGCTTTGCTCAATTTACAACAACACAATTAGAAAATAGAAAGGACTGTCTGATATGTTCTTCACAATTTTAGTACAAAATCCATGCCTACTCATAAGTTTACCAAGAATTAATTTCTCTGAATGATTTCTGGGTGGCTTTCTGGGAAACAGTTATTTATCTGCAGTTGTGAGATTATAGCAGTAGAGTTGACATGCACACAACTAACTGCTTTCTTTTTGTTGAGAGCTACACACTGGCGAGCTTAGCACAAGTAACGAGTCTTGAAATAAAATCTTTCTAGGAAAGAAAGTTATTTATCTGCAGTTGTGAGATTATAGCAGTAGAGTTGACATGCACACAACTAACTGCTTTCTTTTTGTTGAGAGCTACACACTGGCGAGCTTAGCACAAGTAACAAGTCTTGAAATAAAATCTTTCTAGGTGGTTAGAATGAAGGAATATTTCCATTTATTCACATCTCAAACAATGCCAGAGAACTTTTTTTTTTTCCAGTTCAACATACTTTCAATGTATTTCTTTGCCTACCTTCCTATATTTCACTAAGTTACAGTAAACACTATAACAAAGGGCTGGGGTATTTAAAATACTTGAGGAAAAAAAAGTCAAGAAAATGATATGTTTTTAATCAGACTTAATCATTAGTAGTCTTTATTTTGTGTCTACACATATTAGAAAACATAACAATGTAATAAAAAACACACACATATGGAGGCTGTAAGTACTGTCATCTGAAATAATTCACTGAATATAAAAAAGAAATTCTAATTTTATACAATGGATTTTGAAACTTTTACTGACATTTTACAAAAATAAGAATGGAAACAGTTATATACAATATAACAAAGAAAATTAATATACATTAGCCAGAAGAGTAATACACATAAACAAATATGAAAATGTTATCCTACAGGCCCTGTTATACAGCCTTTCTCCATGTGTTTAGGCTTTCCTTTTTTCTTCAGTAATTTCTTCAGTACTCCTTCTTGCCACTGTCTTTCTCATCTCTGTTCTTCATATTTCCCATAGAATCCAACCATTATTTACTTACAGCAATGCTGTGGTGATTTTCTCCCCAGGTGATTCTTTTTCTCTCCATATTGCAAGGAGGCAAAGCGCCTGTAAGGGTTTGTGGGTCTGAGAAAAAATGTTTGGGATGACAAATAAGGAAACCACAGTAGGTGTCCAAAGGATATTTGGATGAACTGCTCAGAAGACAGTCAGTCATGTACTCATTATACAGTATGTTTAAAAAAAAATTATTAAAAAAATCTTGCACTGGGCCTCCCCTGGTGGTGCAGCGGTTGAGCACTGGGCTGCGAAGCTGCCTGCAGCCTCTGCAGCGCCAGTTTGATCCCCAGCCGCCAGCGAGGGTCCCACATGGCTCGACAGGCCTCTCCTGCCGTGCCCGCTGCTCCCCTCAGCAGTGTATTTCGTTAGTCTGCCTGTTCTGTTTTCTGCTCTGGCTCTGGTGAATTCTCTCACTCTCCCGCGCTTCTGACTCTACCCAGTGCTTATATAAATAAATAAATAAATCTTTAAAAAAAAAAATCTTGCACTAACTAGCACAGTTGTAGCCCTGGAAACTTTGGCCTTGTTACAGTTTAGTTTGTTAAACATCACATCATACATCAAACTGGCCATTTGTGTCTTTAAGGTATTTATATATTCACTTTTTACCTGCGACTGTTAAAATTAAGGGGAAAATGTGTTCTTTAGATATAGAGATTAACATACTGGGATCACCTCATCAATTTATCCTTCCTGTGGCTATTCAGTCTTTGTGAGATTTCTGAGATGAGAGACCTGCTACAATTTGTACTCATGAAAGTTAACTGGCCTTTATTAACTGAACACCACAAACCCTGTATCACAAATGTTTCTGAGCAAGGGAGTAACTTCATCAAATAAGAATGAGTAAGTGGAACTGACAAAAATGTAAAGGACAGTGTGTAGCTGGGTCTGGTTTTCTCTAATTATTCAACCTTAAAATGGATGTCAGAAGTACAGTAATTTTAGAAGGATATGATCAAAGGATTTATGAGTGGAAAGTATAATTGGTCTTATTTTCTACCAAATTTCTAAGCCCTTATGACTAAAAGATTGTTAGTTTCCTCCCAGTTGCTTCAAAAATGTGTGCTTGTATACTTATGTTTGAGAAGAATATTAAGCTATTTAGTAATATATTATGATTTAATGAAATGAATACATTCAAATGGTTCTTTAATAACACATATAATATGTATAACACATACATATGTGTATATGAATATCATTTAATTTGTTAAATGTATTATTTTTCCATTTGAATAGATTTGAATAGATTATCAGGAATCAAAAGTATCCAATTCATTTCTTATATAACACAATCTAAAATGAACCATGAAATTATTATATGAGAATAAAACTTCAGGTATTCATTCTTTGCATAAGAATTTTCCTCCTTAGATGGCGGTAATGAGTGGGAACTGTCATAACTAAAACATACTTAAAAATATATATATATAGTAATGTTATTTTTTCAGTTTCCCTAAGGAACAAATATTTCTGAAAGTATTTTTCTAAGCACATTTAGCATTAGACCCTATGACACTAACTTTTATTTTTATTAGATATTGCATTTTTAAGAAATTCCATGCATACAATTACGGCAACTTGAGCCTTTCTATGTAGAGAAAATGATGACTAAAAATTTCCAGAACAAAGTATTTTTATACACTAACCAAACACAAAAAGTGGAGAAGTCCTTCTATCTAACATTCCACTGCTGTATTTTACACTGAAGACCAGTTAGACAGAGGCAGTGATGGACTGAGCCCTGTATAAAACCTGACCCATGGTGTTCAATCTTGGGGCCTTCCCCAGTGATGGAGATGGTGCCATGACAACTGCACTGCCAAGCTTAGTTCTTTCTTTGCACATATGTTGAAACTTTTAGCCTTCCATGTAGAACTTAAACGGGCCTTCACCAAAAAAGTGGGGTTAAAAGTGGAATTATTGGTTAAAAATAAATTGTGAAAAAAAATACAATGCTAAGTTTTTGCTAAATTGTATACAAACCATTATTTTTAATGGGACAAAATAAAACAACAAAAGAATGATTTCCAATCATGACACAATATTTGGGTTAACATGGATTGCTACTCTTGAGTGTTCCAAAAACTCTAAACAAGACTGCATTAATAAAATTCATGAAGCCTGCATAGAAAGCCTAAATGTTCATACCTATATGGAAATTCTTTTCACTGCAGAAGCTTCATTGTTTTTCACCCTGTTTCATCATACTGCCATTATATACAAAAGCTATGTGAATATTGAAACTGTCCTTAGGACATTTTATCCAAAAAATATTATGCTAAAGAATGATTGAATTCTGACTTTTATCAGGACAGTTATTGCATTCCAATGTAATAAGTCAAATGTAAACATAGCAGTATTGTGTTTAAAAACACAGGTTAAAAAAAAGAATTATGTAGTAACATGAAAATTTAAAATATGAAATTAAAAATGTAAACAGGGATATACCTTTCAAATTATTTACATTTCGTATTAGTTAATTCCATTCAACAGATACATATGGGAAGACAGGATGAATGGCAAGAAAAAATAGGGTAGGAACAGAGATGTTCATAATATACCATAAAAATACTAATGGCACAATTGATGAATATAGAAAACAAATAATATATGTATGTAAACAGAATAAAAATTTTAAGCATACTATTTAGATTAGATTGGAGTTTGCAAAAGAGAAATGACAAATACTTATAATGAAGAAATGGCTAAAAGTGGTAGAGATGAGAAACATGACAGGTAGTAGTCAAGGGTCCAGTATTAATAATTGGAATTGGACTACACTCCTAGTGTCCCTGCTTCCCAGCTATGTGATCTCAGATAGTGATAATTATTTTCCCCATTTTTAAAAAAGATATAACATTTGTCTCATTAATAGTTGTGTACATGAGATGAAGAAAACACTTAAAAACATGGTGCCCAGGCTACAGTAAGAGGTAAATTGAGAGTACAATTTGACTTAAAATAGAAACTTATCTTAAAACAATTCAGGGAGCTCAACAGCAAAAGTGACTACTCATGGAGAAGGTAAAATCAGCGTGGTGTAGAGGCACTGGTGGGATTTTTCTGATAGCGATGATGGAAGGGTACAGAATTGGCACACAGAGAAGGTCAAAGGGAGAAAGTAGAAGCTACTCAAATTACCACAAAGGATTCTTTGCTTTCTAGTTCTCACTTCTGGGAAATATCAAAGACTGCCTGAAAGTTATATTGGAGCCATATTCCAGAGGACTGAGAAAGTCACCTGAGCCTTTTAGACAGGGGTTTTGATGGTGGATACAGAAACCTGGATATATAAGAAAAATTTGGTCTGATTTAATGGGCTGCAAGAAGGAAATATTAGGGTTTTCATTGTAATTTTACTTCCAAAGATAAAATAAATTACATCTTATTTTATACCTAAACCAAGATATATATACCCAAACCAAGTTAAATCAGATGCAACATAAAGTTAATCTTAGTTTGACATTACCAGAAATCTTTTTGAAATTTGTATAAATATATCTATTATTGCTAGTAACAAACCTTGTCAAGTCATGTAAGTGCTTGGCATTAAAGCAAGTGATATTATGATACCGCCACAAATTTCTAAAGTTTTTAGCAAATAAACATCCAATACTTTAAAAAGTTTCAATAAGCTAAGTAATAGACATTTAGAAACTTTAGAATTTTCTTAGTTAATAATAACAAACAAAAAGTCACATGCCATTTTGCGAAACTGGATATTTCTGCCAAGGGAAAATGGCTTAAGTTTTAAGTGGCAAAAAATATGGTGACAAACCAGCCTGCATTTCTTTGTCAGCAAATATTGTTAGAAGATGATAAGAAATAACTAAGGAAGATTTGGGGGGAAGTTATTAAGACAAAGTAGGAATTGTTCTGGCAATATATAGAGTCAAAGTGAAGGTATTTTTAACATGCTCAGTTCAAAATATTATTGTGAGCTAGTAAGAAAAAATAATCTAATAAGATATAACCTAAATACTGAGTGGTTAATTTATTAATATTTTACAGATGTGGTATATACTGAAGAGACCTTTATATACTGAAGAATATTTTTAACATTTTGTACTTAAATGGAGAATAATTATGAAATTATTTTAACAAGAGTATTTCATGAGATACTGATAAGCTCATGAAAATATAACTCAAAGTGTTGTAGAATGTGAAGATTTAATTCATTTTAACAAAAGTAGAAGACTCCCGAAATAGTTCAGCTTTTAGTGATGAGAAGTGGTAATCAGTAATATACTCTTCATTAGATATTTAGGGAGAAAGTAAGCCCTGGTTATCAGCAATATTTAAGAATAAAACAAATTAAAATAGTCTCTTCAAGAAAACTATCATGTGGAAACTATCCTCTTAAGATAGATATTTGAAAATCAACATAAGATTATGTTATATAAACTTACTTAGATAACTTCTAAAGGTTGTCCTATCTGCTCATTTAACAAAGTTAAAACAGAATATTCTGTTCATATAACTTTGTAGGAAAAGAAATTTGGAGATCTTAAAGCCATTTTCTAAGCAATATTTAAAAACATCACATTATATGATAGCTAGTAAGGCAAGTGATTTAGTTATCAGGGGAAATTAATGTTTGTGGAATTTGGATACTGAAAGTAATTAATTTTAATTATAAATTTGGAGAACAGGTAGCAAGATTTAAAAAATATAGTCTTTGATTCACTTTTTCCATTTCAGTATAGCCTTATGGATTCTTTTTTGTTATGGATAATATTAAACTAAATGTCAAAATGCCAAAATAAGTTTAACTTAGAAGTCAAATTTCACATAACTAGCTTACAATTTCATATCAAATTTTAAATATACTGAAGCACAACCTATGCTTTCTAAAACATTAATCATATTTTAATGTTATTAAATGTACTTGTATTTAAATAAACATAAAACTGTAATTTTAGTTTTTTCATTGATTATTGTATATTATTTTGAATATTTTATATTGTAAAAAGTTTTAGTGATGTAGTATATACACTACATATTGAAATTGTACAATAAAAAGGAAATGACAAAATAAAATGGTGAAGGTATTAAAATAGTACATTAACAAAATATCTAGATATGTCTTGCTTAGATTATATTTAACAAGTAATAGAGAATCATTAGAAATATCTGAATAATAGAGTTAAATTATATAAACTTTGGAAAATAATTAACCGAAAACTGTATACCGAACAAGGGAGAAAGAGAAGGCTTAGTCATTGGTAATTAAATTACTCAAATCATTGGTGATAGGTCAACTGGATGCAGAAAGCAAAGAGCAGGTAAGAAGAAACTCAGATTACTCTGATTACTGACTGGTAATGATGGTGCCATTATCAGAAATAGAAAGTCAGAAATTGCTTCTAGAGAGAATGCATTAGATTTGAACACACTGAATTCCAGTTTACAGTGAGGCTTTGAAGTGGAACTACTTTGAGATGGAACAATCTAATTGAAACTGCAGGTCTGGTAGTTAAAAGAGAGGCAAAAAGTGTGCAAGTGGATTTAGGAATCGTTCCATAGCTCCCTTAAAAGGAAAGGGGACAGAACTCAAAGAAAAGGCAATAAAAAAATCACACACTATAGACATTGGGAAGGAGTAAGCAACAGAGATAGTCCAAGTAGAAGTCGTAAGGGGTAATCAGAAAAACAAAGAGAACAAAAAGGGAAGGGTGATGAAAGTCAAGGATAATTTTACTCAGGGAGAAATGGTAAAAGCATTAAGCTCTGCCAAGTGACTGGTCAGGAGAAGTAAAGAGTCGTAGTGATGGCTAGATCCAACCACTGAAATGGAGAATATAGAGGTATCTGCTTTCTCTAACTCTGATAAATACATTTACATAATGAAGGAAGACCAGGAAATATTTAATGAGTGATGCATAATATTATAGGTATGGGTTAGTAACTAAGTGTTAAAACTTTAAATGACGATAACAAAACAATAAAATCAGAGTCAGAACAGATTACACATTCTAATTAGAGCTCTCATATTAATTTGAAACAATTAAATCGTTTAATTTTTCTGAAAGTCATTGCTGTCATCTATGAATTAAACTATTAAACCAGGTAGAACACAAGATCTCTAAAAAATCAGAGTTCCTCTAAAAACAGTATTATTCTTTGTGCAATATTGTTTAAGAAGGGTTGCACAAAAATTTCCACTAAAGAAAAAGAAAATAGTATATATTAATCCAGATAACTATAAATAAACCTTCAATATTAAATGCATTAAACAAAATCTCAGAGCATTTTATATGAAAATAATGACAAATATTAAACTTTTAAAAATGACTTTACTCCTGAATTTACTCACATTTCCTTTCTTTTTTCCCCTCTGTCACAATTATTTTAATCATTTCTTGGCTGAATACAACTTCTAAGTTTTTTAAATCGGAAGAAACTTGGTGAATCTTGCTTAACCAAGTGGTTAAATGAATAGTAACTTACACATACATTATTTTATGTTCCAGGTTGATGCTGATTATGTTCACAGTGGAGGAAAAAGGGAATAACTGAAAATTATCAGAAATTCTCACATTGCTCTGTATGGTTTTGATAAATTATTTGATCGGCTTAAGAGAGAAATACATTTTAGATTTAAGCCTTATGTGAATTTGATTAATCTGTCAAAAGTCAAAATTCTGCATGTCAGAAAACAACTGTTAACATTTTTCTGAAAATACCCTTAGTTGAAGACACACTTGCATAATTACCATTCAGCAATTTGCGTACCTAGGTAAAAATGAGTGAATTACATATATAAAACTGTGCAAAGTTAGGAAAACATGACTTACTGCTTTTTCTCTGCCAGGTTCCACCAGATCGGGCTTTGCTGTGCACACTGCCTGTGACTGCTCTTTGATCTTTTGAGCCGTCTCATCTTCCTTAGGCAAGCTCTGAGGCAGGCGAGGGGGTTCATCTTCCATCTTGGTTGGAGGTTGCGTCTCTTCTTCCACTGCCTTTGCAGTCACTTTTTCTTTGGGCTTTTCTTCAACAGTTTGTACCTGAGTTTTTAGCAAGTCTTCTTTCTGATCCCCCTTTTGTTTCAGGGGGTGACTTCTTGTCTTCAGGAAGTAATGTTTTGTCCTTAGGGGTTGGCTTTTTTTCTTCAAGGAGTGGCTGTTTTTCTTCTAGAAGTGACTTTTTGTCTTCAGGCGCTGGTTTTCCTTCTTCTGGGAGTGGCATTTTATCTTCAAGGGGTGGCTTTTTTACTTGAGGGCCTAAAGTTTTGTCTTTCTCTAGTATACTTTCTTCTTCTTTTTGATCTGTAGGTTCCTTGGGAGGAAATTTTTCAGTTGAAGTTGATTCTTTTACTTTTTCTGGAGTGATTTTTTCAGCTTCAGCTTTTACTTCTTGCTCCTTCTTCTTCACTTTCACTTGGGCAGGAGATGCTGGTTTCTGAGATGGCTGTTCCGAAGGGACAGGCACAGGAGATACTTTTGGCCCTAACTGTGTAGGTAGCATTTTGCCTATGTCTCCAAGTTGTCCTGACATTGCTCTCTGGGTTTGGCAATTTAAACAAAGCCATTCTTGAATCTGCAAGAAAAACAGCAATGGAGAGATTAATTATAATATCATGCATCTGATTCAGTGCATTTATTAAAGTTGAAACTTGTCAAATTTGCTCTTTTGTCTATGTAGAAGTGGGTCACAGTTTTCTAAATCAACAAAATGATTTATAAAGATTTCAAAAAGACTATTTGAAAATTAAAAATATGAAGACTCCCTAGAGATTCGTGAGTTACTCACCTCACCATAAAAATGAAAAAAAAAAAAATTGCATTAAAGATAGACCCAGGGGAATATTTGTTTTTTGGTGAAAATCTGCATTTCTTCAAAATAAAATTATTTTTAAGCCTGGTATTCCCAAAATTAGTATGCACATCTTAATTTATTTAAGAATTATTACACTTCATAATAATTTTCTGTTAACAATTAATTAAAATTGTTTTATTAGCCTATAATCTCCTGGCTCTTGACTTGGATCAAGTATAGTGATTACCAAAATAGAGTATTACAAGGTACATGTGACATAAAAAATTAATTTCATTCTTAATAATATTCACATTTCTCATCCAATTGAGCAAGAAGCATTCACAGGCTCTAATTATTTGGTATCATCCCCTCCCCCCATGAGTTTTCTGACTTGATTGACTGAATCAATTCCTTGTAGCTCTGCTCCTTAGTACGGGGGATTCCCAGGCATGCAAAATCCTGGGAATTATGAAATAGTATTTTAGCAGAATCTTGGGGAGGGAGAAAGAGTATCTCTCTTTTTAATAAACTTTGGTTCATTTTGTTTTGGTAAAATGAACACTGAAAACTACTCTTAACACATAACAGATGATCATACAAGAAACAAACTGTTAGACTAATATTGCAGACTTTTCTTATTGATGTCTGTTGTGTTTTTTCTTACATTATTCTTAATATAATGTAAAAAGTAAAAGCCACACATGTAGTTTCTGACTTATCATTTAATGAATACTTAATCTGTGGCATGTGGTTAAAATGTCATACCAAAAATTTGGCATTTATATGTTGCATTGTATCTGAGAAATTCAAACTGCTTTTCACTGGGTCACTTTTTTCACTTGAATATCTTATATTATTTAGAGATAAAAAGCATATTGCTCTAGAACATTGTTAGATACATAAGTTTTACTTTCTACTTCAGTTATTATTAAATGTTATTTAATAATAATGACAGTTTTGCAATCTGTAAGCCATTGTAATTCTTATTTGCTGATCTAAGACAATGTCAATTACTTACCTTCAGTAGAATGCTATCCACAAAGAGTCATTTTATCTCATGGGTTCATTTGTATTTTTGTGTGTATTTTCATTAAATAATAAGTCCCTTCTTAGTTTTATGTCTAAGCATCTATATAGAGAATTTCAGTTTATTTATATAATAATTTTGCCTTTTGCCTTTTTTTAGGGAAAGAAATTCCTTTGTTCCCTTATTTCAAATAATAAAAGCCAAAAAGCCCCTGGAGGAGGTTCTTTCTTAATTCCTATAGAAAAATCAATTTCAATCTGTTCTGTGGCTTTAAAAAACATTACTTGGTTGAGCTACATCTTAGGATATTTTCATTCAGAGCCTGACATTTAGGAAAAAAAAGACACAAATAGCTGCATTACTGTGCTGCTTGTCACATGGATTCTAAAAACCAAATGCAGGTGTATTCCCATCAGGGCATGTCTTAATGTAAGTAACTTTGGAAGTTTTTAATATACCAACAATACAGTTTTCATCCCATTGGAAATTCTTGTCAATTATTAAAGTATGATTTATTTTTTGTGAGTTTCTAGGATAAATTATTCTTACAAAGTTGCCAATTGCTGCTACCTATACCACAGGATAACACAAAGGTATGTAGCTTTTGTTAAAAAGAAGGTAAGTTGAAAAAATATAGCATAGATAATATTTCAAGATAGTGTACTCATTTTCATATATTTGAAATTTAGGTAAGAGGATAGAAGATATAGTTTATCATGTTATTTAACCTATTATAGATTAGTCATGGAAAACACTTCATTGTTCTCATATAAGTAACACTCAATAAACAGCCAATGATGACCCACATTACACGTTACTTAAGTCTGTAATGCAAAGAGAAGCCAGAGTGTTAATCTGAGAAAAAGTATCTTATGCCTGCAGATTCTAATTGGCTAGTTCAATTTGTGTTTTCCTTAAATTCCCAAGCACATATAGTTAGATTTAGCATTCTAAAATCACTGCTATTTTTTTTTAATATTTTGTGTTCATTTCTTTTTTTTTTTCTTTTTTAGGATTTATTTATTTAGGGCCTCCCCGGTGCCGCAGCGGGTTGAGTGCAGTGCAGTGAAGCTGTCTGCAGCCTCCGCAGCACGGGTTAGATTCCCCACCCACCAGCGATAATCCCACATGGCAAGGCAGACCTCTCCTGACTTGCCGGCTGCTCCCCTCAGCAGTGCTTTCAGTCTGTCTGCCTGTTCTGCTCCCCGCTCTGTCTCTGGTGAATCCTCTCACCCTCCCGTGGCTCTGACCTGTACCCCAGCTCTTGTATAAATAAAAAATAAAAATGATGGGGTACAGGTCAGAGGCACGGGAAGGTGACAGAATTCACCAGAGACAGAGCAGGGAGCAGAACAGGCAGATGGACCGAATACACTGCTGAGGGGAGCAGTGTGCGAGACAGGAGAGGTCTGCGCACCATATGGGTTTCTCCCTGGCTGGCGGGGAATCGAACCCATGCTGCAAAGGCTGTGGATAACTTCACAGAGTGGCACTCAACCGGGGAGGCCCATCATCTATTTTGTAAAATTTTTTAACATGATGTCACTATTCTTGACTGATTTGCATTTAAATAAGATTATTATAAGGTCAACTTTAATGCTTTTAAATTTCACTTGGACTAATTGTTACCAAAATTAATTTGGAAACTGATGTTAGTATTATGTCATATAATTACAAAAACACAATTCATATGTATCTATTCTGTAGATACTTGTGAAGTACCTATACCCTTTGTAAAGTGTATGTGCACAAGAATTATTCCATTAGAAAATTTTTATTTCAGATGAATAAGACTGTTGAAATAAACACACAGTAAAAAAAAAATGAAAGAGAAAGAAATGGAAAAGATGCAATGAATGTAATAGGCTGTTTATAAATCTGTTTAGATCATAAAAGAATTTGATGAGAAACTTAGGAGTCACACAAGAGTATTTCACAGGGCAATCAGAAATGCTGAATTGATGGTCTCATGTGTTCCTCTTCTTTCTGCAGTCTAGAACCAAAATTACAATGCCAAAAATTTCAGTAAACAGGGAAATTTGTAATATCAATAAGGGATTGAAAAGGAAAGAAAAACTATAGTAAAATAAAATTTTTATATTTCTTTAAACACACAAATTTAATTTTTACTTATTAAAAGGGTAGATAGGAAAAGGCAGTGACTATGGTAAAATTAAAGTGTACATGTATAAGTGAGAAAATAAAAATTGGTGAAATTTTGAAGAGTAAAAAGCATAAATTTGAATTTTCAGAAAAGTTCATTTTGTAGTCAAATGATCTATTGCTTCACTATTACCCCCAAAAAACTGATTTTGGAAATATAGGCTACTATCATTTTCATATCATCATTAAATAGAAACACAATTACTAGAAAAATTGGCTTCACAAAAAAACTTATGGTTTATGCATTTTTCATTTTTTAGCAAAAAATAATCTCAAAGATTTTTACATCACTGTATCTACCTACTGAATCAAGAAATATATTTCTAAGTCCACAAAGATGTTATCTGTACTCTTAGTTCCTCAATAGCCACACCATTAAATATTCATAAAGCTTCTAGTCCAGTAGCAATCTGGAGATAAACAAAACTCTTAAATTATATAAGAATAAAATGCACAAAATATCACTGCCATATATGACTTACAAGCTGAAAAGATTTTACCAGACATAGCATTAACTTTCTCTGTGACAGTTACAATTGTGAAACATATGACTATTTACAATTTGCCTTAAACTTAAATATCAAGTGAGTTATGGCTTTATTTTTAAATTGTTTTATTATAGAGTCAGTGAGACAATCAGAAAATGAAAACATTTCATAAAATATATCTTCTTAATATGTAATATATACACAAACCAATGACACTTCTCTTATATTACTGAGTTTACATTCTGAAATACTAAACAATGATGCTTATGGAGCGGTTGAGCACTGGGCTGTGAAGCTGCCCGCAGCCTCTGCAGTGCCAGTTCAATCCCCGACAACCAGTGAGGGTCCCACATGGTGTGACAGACCTCTCCTGCCACACCCGCTGCTCCCCTCAGCAGTGTATTTCGTCGGTCTACCTGTTCTGTTTCCCGCTCTGGCTCTGGTGAATTCTCTCACCCTCCCGTGCTTCTGAATGTACCCAGTGCTTGTATAAATAAATAAATAAATCTTTAAAAAGAGTGCAAACTGGTCCAACCACTGTGGAAAGCTGTGTGGAGATTTCTGGACCTACTAAACATAGAGCTTCCATACGATCCAGCAATTCCACTCCTAGGTATTTACCCAAAGGACACAGAAACATCCATTCCAAAGAACACCTGCACCCCTATGTTTATAGCAGCACTGTTTACAATAGCTAAGCTTTGGAAACAACCCAAATGCCCAAAAGTAGATGACTGGATCAAGAAGATGTGGTACATATATACCATGGAATATTACTCAGCATTCAAAAAAGATAAACACATGCAATTTGCAGCAACATGGATGGCGCTGGAAGGGATCATGCTCAGCGAAATAAGCCAAAAAGAAAAAGAAAAATACTGGATGGTCTCACTCATAGCAGGAATCTAGAAAACTTAAATAAGGGACCAGGAAAATGAATAACTATAAGAAAGTGAAAATCAAAATCAACAAAAAACTATGAACCAGAGACACTTTTAGGGGGGCAGGGGCGGGAGGGGAGGGGTTGGGGTCAGAATGGGGGCGCTGCAATTGTATGGGGAATATAACAATAAAATTTATTATCTAATAAAAAAAAAAGAAAA